CATTTCCCAATTGACAAACTCAGATTATCAAATTATTTGGCACACTAAAAAAGTACTACGTGTTTGAGCTCTCATATGAACTGAGTCTCTCTCTCTCTCACACACACACGCACTCACAGTGAAGAAGACGACTACTTGCAGACAAAGAAAGATATCTTCTTTGACCTTCAGGTTAGCGGTGGATCATTTTTTTATTTACCTTTTTTTGCTGCAATTATTTATTTACTCACAGTCGACCATCGTATTGTAGATTTGCTCTAGAAAGATCCACAGCTGGATTTTCTCTTCGGATCGCTTTTCAGATCTCGATTTCCTTTCATGGCGGTTTAGTTCAATCATCATTTTTAGAAGCGTAAAACCAATTAAAAACTCAGTTTTTGTTCTTATTTCCTTGGACTCAACTGTGAAACTTCAGTAATTTAGCTACCCCATTAGCTACAAAACCCTCGATTTTCTCATCTTTATCACGAACCTGCTCCACACAGATTACACTTCTTTTTTCTTCACCAATCTTCATATTACCCAACTATTTTCTTGAATTTCCTAACGAGAGAGAGAAAAAAAAAAATGAAATTCAGCTTAAAAATGCATCTTCCTGAAATTCCAAGCCTCTTATGCTTTGGGGTTGTTGTACTTTTGATAAATTGCTTGGCATCTACAAATGCCGAGGAGGTCACTTGCTCTGGGATTGTGCCCATGAGGCTTCGTGATGATACTGTATCGATTGCGGATTTTGGAGGTGTGGGTGATGGAGAAACTCTGAACACGGGAGCGTTTAGGGAGGCGATTCGCAGAATCGCGGACTCGAACAGGACAGGTGGCACCCTCCTATTCGTCCCTAGTGGGGTGTATTTAACCGGGCCGTTCAATCTCACTAGCCGAATGACTCTGTATTTGGACAGAGGTGCTGTTATCAAAGCCACAATGGTAACTGTTGTACATTTGTCCTTTGTGGTTTTGGTGTATTTAGTGATTACTATCTTTGCTTTGAGAAAGTGTTGTGAATATGTGCTGGATTCTGTTAGTTACTGTTGTCTTGTATGTGTTGGTAGATTTGTTGGTGGTGACCTGTTTAAGCTAAGCATTTAACTAGCTTTATCTCATTTTTGCGACATATATTTTATTCGAGCACAATCCAAATGTGTCATTTGTATTTTTTTTTTCTTTGAGGAAATGTGTGAATAAATTCACGTCGTAAAAGAACTTGGTATTGATATTTTACAACCAAAAATCTTAATTGAATTTCTATAAGCAGTTTGTACGGATTGGTGATGAAATAGTTCAATATTTTCTATGAGTTTAAATTAAGTCTTCCTTGTGGTTTATGATTAAAACTCCTCTACTCGACGTGCTAATATCCATGCTTATTCTTTTTCTATATGCCTATATTCTATTTAAGAACTGTAACCTTGTTTGTCGATATTCACCTTCATCTCACACTACAACAATTGGTATTGATCTATATCCATTGCTACAGGATACTACACAGTGGCCCTTAATAGCCCCTTTGCCTTCATATGGGAGAGGAAGAGAAAGACCTGGAGGAAGGTACATGAGCTTCATCCATGGGGATGGACTTAATGATGTAATTATCACAGGTCAGTTGGTGTGAGGGCGTACAATATTCCGAATATGTATATCAACGTTGGTTGAAATCATTATAAAAGTAAAATTCCTAAAGAAAAGTTCTTGATGGAATCGTGAGAATTAACTTTTGATGAACCTGAGTTATATTTTCTTTTTCGTTGCTTTTTATACAAACATACATACTATCTCACAATGAAATGTTGCATTTTTTTTTTTGAAAAAGCTAACTTGTTAATTTCCCTCGTTCTGTAATAATCATATCATAGGGGATAATGGGACGATTGATGGCCAAGGTAATGTGTGGTGGAACATGTGGAAGAGTAGAACTCTCGAGTACACAAGACCCAATTTAATTGAACTGATGAATTCCAGAAATATACTCATTTCGAACATTACTATGAAAGACTCGCCATTTTGGACCTTACACCCTGTGTATTGCAGGTGACACAAAATTTATGCATAGACTAAATTCACTTACTTGACCAGATATTCGTTTTTTTTTTTTTAAATGTTATATTAAACAAATTTTCAGCGGTCTCGTTGTGAAATACGTCACCATAGTGGCTCCTGCTGATTCTCCCAACACCGATGGAATAGATCCAGGTCAGTACTAATTGGTTCGACATGAGTCTATTTGTGAGTAATTATTGATTTGTAGTAAACAATCTATGTCCTTCATTTTTTGTGTTACTTTACCTTTATGCATGTCCAAGCCACCAACTTTAGGAAACAAAAGAGGAGAAAAAAACACTCATCTCCTTATGAATTATTAAGGACGGGCGTTTGAATATAAATCAAAACCGTTTTTGGTTGGAATTTGAGTTCAAGTGAGTTGATTTTGAAAAAAGTTGATCCAATGAAGGATTAAGTGGAATTTTGAGTTTGTATATAAGTAATATTTAAAATGTAATGATTAAAGCTAATGTGATGAAAAAAGTACGAGAGAAGTTATTGAAAATGATAGGTACTTAAAAATATACAAGTGGATGAATAGTGAATTTTTAGTTAACGTGATTGTGAGTGATTGATTTATATTATTTAATTATTTTGTATGGGGAGTTGGTTGGATTAAATTTAAGTTGGATTTTGATTTAAAAAGTGAAAAAAAAAAAGAATTATCCAATCAGTCAGAATCGATTTTCATTTGTAGCTAGTAACGTTAAATTAAACGAGTCTAGTCCGGCTTGTTATGGCTCTAAAATATAATTTTTTTTTTTAATTTTCTATAGTTCGTCTCGTTAAAGATATCGGCTCGAACTTGGCTTGTTATTAGTGATAAATGAATCGAGCTCGAGCTCGATTTCAGGCGCTTGGCTCGTTTATAGGCCTATTTGTAGTCAATCGCCCCCTAACCACCTTAATATGGTTTTCTCTAAAATCCCTAGTATTGCTCTCTCTACTACACACACAAACACAAAAAAAAGGTGTGCAATATTGAAGATAATTCAACACATAACAAATACTAAACTTTCCAGACTCGACGACAAACGCATGCATCGAGGACTCCTACATATCGACCGGGGATGACTTGGTCGCTATAAAAAGCGGTTGGGACGAATATGGAATTTCCTTCAACCGCCCGAGCAGCCAAATCACCATCCGGCGCCTTACCGGTTCATCCCCCTTCGCCGGAATTGCGGTCGGCAGCGAGACTTCCGGCGGCATCCGCGACATCTTTGCCGAGCACATAAACCTCTTCCGCATGGGAGTTGGCATCCACATAAAGACGAACATCGGGAGAGGTGGGGTCATAAAAAATATCACGATCTCAGATGTTAATATATTCGGCGCCCGAAAGGCGATCAAGATATCAGGTAGCGTTGGGGACCACCCGGACGAGAATTACGATCGGAACGCGATTCCGGTTTTGAAGGGTGTTGTGATTCGAGACGTGTGGGGGGAAAATGTGGAGCAGCCGGGGCTTATTCAGGGTTTGAAACGTGCGCCTTTTGATGGGATTTGTCTTTCGAATGTTACTTTTGGTTCGGTTATTGGCGGGAAAAACTTGGCTTGGCAGTGCTCGGATGTCAGGGGTGGCGCTGAGCGGGTCAGCCCGATGCCGTGCGTGGAGCTGCTGAGCGGGCAGGAGACGGGTATGTGCTCGTTGAGCCTTTGAAGGTAATTATTATTATTATTATTATTTTTTTTTTTCTAAATTGTTTCTACTTCAGGCAGAAGTAAGAAGAATATATGTGATTTTGATAAAATTTATGTACAATTTATGTGTACACATGTATTGTATTTGTGGGACAACTTATTCGTTATGGTGTAATGTTATTTGGAGAATCCAAAGGAAAGAATGAAGTGAACAATTTCTGTTAGGAAAAGGTAACCAGCGATAATATTTAACATTTTTTTTTCCCCAATGAAAATCTAACGTGGATCTTCACGTCAATCTGAACATTTGACTTGGACAATAATGCTCTCTTACCCAAGGTGAGCACGTGTTAATATGCCCACCGCTTATGTGGCATGATGTATTTTTTTGAGTATATTAACATTACCAATGTGTGCATGCCACATAAGTGGTAGGCATATTAACATGTATCGTGGGTAGGTGAGCATTATTGTGAGCATTATTGTTGACTTGGAATATATTAGTTAATTTTATGACATTTTAATTTTAATTTTTTTTTTTGGGTAGCTTTGAATTGGTCAGATGGCCAGAGAATTCGGACCTTTCAAAGCTCAAAAGAAAAAAGAAAATATTATATAAGTGAATAGCGGAATTCTAATATCAGATTTGACTCGTACCAGCCTCGTACCTATCTAACATTAAGTTCTCCTTTAAAATCACGCCATGTGTTCCAAAATTTAATTAATTAAGAAAATAATTAAAAAAACAAGCTTGGATAAATACTAAAGTACCCTTACTTAAAAAAATTATAAACTAGGGTGATTAACTATTATGATATTATTATTATACTCTAATGACATGTACATATTCCAATTAGGCAACGAATTGAAATTAAATTGCATTCTATCTTCAACACAATCAATCATCTTCATCAAAATTTGTGTTCTATACGCTGCGAAATTTGGGATTTAGAATCTCTTTTTCGTTTTTGTTTTCAACCTGTTCGCAAAGCCTGATTTGGAATCTGGTATATTTGTTTAATTTGTCATTAAAATTGTTTTAAGGTTAATTAAACTAATATT